TTGTCATTGTGCGACTGGTAACTTTGACACCAAATAACAAAACTGCCATTTGCACTTAGGGTAAATTGGTTCACTCGAGCTTCCAAGGCACCTCTTGCTCTGACATAAATTTATGAACTCGGGAACTAACCAAGTCGTGTGGTTTCCCAGCTGACTCTAACAAATATGCCCATTTCATTTCATTTAGTCATCAGGCTGCCAGGGGGCTCAGGGCTTCAGACTCATTGCAGATGGTGTAGGGTTAGCAGGAACTCCAGAGACTTCCATGTCAGAGCCCTGTAAAATATGACAGCGGAGGGGGCCCCTCTCCTAAATGCAGTCCCTGTCTGAAGCGTTCGCAGCTTAAGCAGTGTTGGCTCTTCCACCACCTCCTAGGTGTATGGAGAGGACATGTATTGCAGATTAACCACAAGGTGAAACATACGCCTCCCAGATTCCCGCTCGGGCTGGCCATGTTTAAACCTCAGTCAGATGATGTCCCTGTCTGAAACATGGGAGAAGAGCAATTTTGTTTCCTGGCCCCCCAGGAGTTCTGTCCTTTTGCTGGGCTGAATTTTCAGAGCAGGCAGTAGAAACAGAGTACAGTCTCAGAGGAGTGAGCTAGGGTCAGGCAGAGGGAGGAAAGTCCAGTTTCGCCCACTGCTGAGGATGCATGGACACTTGCCCAGCTTTGTAGGAATGCAATCAAGTGCACATAAAAATATAAAGCTAGAAAACAATATATTACTATAAAGACATGTACTTGAATGACTGTATTATTTATTTCGATTTGGAATAGCAACTTCAGGTGAAAGATGGGCTCAGTGATGTTCAAACGCCACATGAGAAGAATGTCATAGTTGGGTTTTTTTGGTTTGTATTTCATTTTGCTCCATTTTCTTTTGTAGGAATGGGTATCATTTATTTAGCACTTTCTACACAGTAGGAATATATCAAAATGCTCTATAAACATCTTTAGGCTTATTCCTCACATCTCCCTAGGAATTGGTTGTTTATATGATCATGGCTCAGAAAAGCCATGGGTCCGTCGGGTTACTTCCTGTGTCCATGGACACTCTGGGAGTGAGGGCAGAGGAAGGGAATGACCTCTTGGACACCACTCTGTAGATAGACAAGTTCGATAAAGTGATGAAATATCTTCCATAAAGGTGTGTTTGTCAAATTTTGTGCAAGATCTACCCTTGGCATAAAGACAGAATGAACAGTAATCTCAGAAAGTCCAAAAATGCTTTGCTTGAAGCACTCACCATAAACTTGCAGTTCCTCAGAGGTCTTTCTTTTATGCATTCCAATGTGTTTGCATCATCTAAAAACCAATGTATGATACAACTTGTCATGTAGAGAACGTTTACACGAATCTCAGTGCTGAGGATTGACATGTGCTATGCTCCAGGGTAGTAAGAAGAGCTAAAGAAAGCTAACAAGTTCAGCATCCTGGCTCTTCTTCCTCTTCATTTTATCAGAAACACGTGGGTGCGAACAGATAGGACTAAGGAAGAATTACTCAAAATGTGAGGTGGAATAACTTGACATTGAAAACATTGCTATGATGGAAATTTCCATAAACATCTTCCCACTAAAGGTCCAGTTGCAAACCAAGAGGGCCCCTGAATCCTCCTTCAATCCTTTTTACTGCCCCAAGCAGCACTTTGTGAAGAATGTGGAAGTGGGAGGTGGGGGAAGCCTGATTACATTTCTCTTATTTTACGTCTAACACAGAACCCAGGTTTCCCTTGCCCATTAATGAACTGAGAGTCTCAAATGCATCTGTGTAATCAACTCTCTTCATGCAACTCTCAAGCTTCGTTTTAATTACAGCAGGATTGGGGAGAGCTGAAAACATTCCCAGCTCTGTCTTGCAGCTGAGAATTAGACTTTGCAGAATAACATCAAAATAAGCCCAGGACATACACGCACTATGCCAATAAAGAGAACAACGAAATTATTAAAGTCTCTACCAATTCCATCTGTATCATGACATCTTCATTTTTCCTCTTTATGATGAAAAAATAGTATAGAATTCTCTAGTGCCTGAGACAAAGGTACGCCATGGGCTAGGCCAACTTGTGGGTTTGCTGCTTGGGGCGGATGCCTAGGGTGGATTCATTTTAAAAGGACAGCAGAGACTGAGATGAAAGTGCACTTTGATGGCCTCAGGACCAGCAATCTTCACCGCAGTCCTGTGTCAGTGTGGACACTTTTTGGGGACACACGGTGGGATCATTCTTCGATGACATCAGGTTGTTTAACTTCACGGTGCTCTGCAGGAGTTCTAATTACTTGCCACACATGGATTTGCTTGTTCATTGGTATACGTGTTTACATATAAGAGTTTTGTTTGTCATGCCAAGTTGGTACATCTATTCCACCTCTGGATCACGTTTACTTCCATTTTCCTTCCCTGTCCGACTGCCTTTCCCTACCCCAGATCCATTCCAATCTCAACAAAGTCTACTTCCCTGTCTCCTGTGATCTCTCTTTTCTTTGGTCTGTAAATTATTCATATTTGGAGTTTCTCATACAAGACAGCTATGTGAGACTGCCTGATTTATTTTTCACTTCATTCGCCTCAAATATTTAAGAAAGAAAAACTCACACCCATAGTTTTTGGTGCAAAAGCAAAAGTGAGACTCTGCTGAGTTCCTCGGGGTAGCTGGGACAATCACCCATTGCCCAAATTCTGCAAGTCGAAGTGGTGTTTCAAAAGCAGGTATAGTATTTCTTGTCTCTGAATAGACTTTGGCAGGAATCTGCAAGTGTCCGTTGTACATGTTTCTCAGTCTAGGAGACTTGGTGTTAGGAACCGAATTGTTTGGTTATTCCTTTAATGGAGCTTCTACCTCCATGAATGTTCCATCATTAGTTTCTGTGCAACCTGCAGCTCTAAGAATTTTCCTGCCTGTGTATACAGGTTCTCACTACACTGTCCTTGGACTTTCCCTGTACCAATCAAAGACCCCATGATCAAGAGGAAGCCTAAGTACTGAAAGATGAGCATTGATACCAGATGAGCCTGAGTTCTGGTCATAGCTGCCCCACTTGTCCATGTTCAATCTAGAAGAGGTTCTCTGAGCCTTAATTTTCTTAGTCCTTGAAAGTTAATGACATTTACCCCACAGCATGGTCCTGAGGTTTAATTTATTTAAACAACGAATACTTATCGAACTACTACTTTGTGTTAAAAGGCTAGACGCAGAATCTACACTGAGACAGAGAAGAATGCATACTGGCTTTAGGAAGTTGACATCCTACTGGCATAAAGACAGGCCGAGCCTGATGCTTCGCACAAGCAGGGATTCAGTGGGAGGGTGCTCTTGTTTATGTAGTGACTTCCAAGCTGCTCTCCTTACCTCTTATCTCTAGTAATGTTAATCCTGCCAGTGCTGTCATCACCCAGTGATGCAGGGTGGGTCTTGTTAATGCCATCAGCATTTTAGAACTGTGTGGAGACTGGATGAGGATGTGGAGATAAAGAGAGAAAGGAGAAAAGAGAGGGGAAAGTACAAAGGATCAAAATGCAATGTGTGTATTACCAGTCCCCCAGAATGCATGTGCTCACTGTGTATGAAAAACATCTACTAAGAAAAGGAGGAATAAGCTAAAGTTTCTTATAGAAATAGTAAAATGTAGTAGTCACAAGTGTGGAAGGGAAGAAAGCAGAGTCTACTCTAAGGCTCTGAGGCCCGTGGCCTGGGAAGAGAGGAGCAGATGTCATTGTTAACTAAAAGAGGAGCCCAGGAAGTGCAGGTTTGGGAGCAGAAAACACAGCTGTTTCAGCCTCTGCTGACATCAAGATCTCTGTGGGAATTCATGTGGAATTGTCTAGCACACTGTTGAAAATCTCAGCTTCAGCAGAAGTGTAAAGCCAGAGCCAACCATCCAGTAACCAATAATGCAGTGCAGTAGTATCAACAATTAAGAAACATGTAACGTGAGGTCTAAGAAGGACATTCTAAATTTAAAATAAAAATTCTCAGTCTTGGTTGTCAGATTCAGTACAGTTTGGCACCTTTTGTGAGGAATTCATGGATCCATCTTTTTGCAAAGACTTCTTGTTTCCATCAACCCTGCACAAAACCGTGAGCATCTCTGGTGTGTGCAGGACTTCTGCTCCTTAACCTCAGAGCTGCCACAGTGTTGCCTGCATGAGACCTCCCCTGTGCTGAGTCCTGAATCCTAGTTTCTCCAAGATGCTGTCTGCCCATTCCATTGTTTCAGTGTATGGATGAACTTACTAAGTCCAAGATAAGTAACTAAATCTCAAAATGTTACCGGCTCTCTGATCACTGAGACAAGTTAGTAAGGAACACTATTATATTCTAATTCTAAGCTCCTATCTTCTCCCTGAAAAAGAATGTACATTGATCCTGACCAGATAAAACTTCACAGACATTTAATTATATAAATAGATTGCGAAAAGGCCAAAATGGCAAGACCTCCTTTCTTTAGGAAGCAGTAGTGAAAAGTGACAGTTCCTGGTCCCAAATTTCATATGTATTTGAGGTACATAAGTCTCCCTGACAGAGTAGACTATCTCAACTCAATAATTAATGCACTGGGAATTCTCTAGGTAGACTGTGATTTGGGGACTTTATGGGCTATTATGTCAAGGAGCCGTGTCAGACAGAATGCATACACAATGCACTACAGAAAAATTATTGTCACCAGCACAACTGATGTTTTTTATGTACTTTAAGAGTAAGTAAACCTAGGAAAAATATATGACACCTTACCTTTTTTTAAGTGAAATGTGCCTTTGGTTTTATTTACCAGTAGGGTATAGCTTCAAATGGAAATATTACAATTTTTAAGAAACAGTACAGCACATTCTGATACTAGGTCCTGAGTAGGTTTTTTAATTGTTCTTTTAGACAAATACTTACCTTTCAAGTACAAGCTTTTAAATGTATATTTTCTGACAGGGAAAATGGTTGTTGACCGTTTTGTGTAACATACACATATGCTTCTGTCCGTCCCTCTTCCTCTTTGTTTCTCTAAAGGGATCCTCATCCCCCAGATTCCTGTGGAGTACCACGTCCTACTCAATGATGGGAGTGTCACACCTCTGACCTTCTCAGTCGGTCACCTACAATCCACCCTTCTGGAAAACCTGGCTCCTTTCACCCAGTATGAGATAAGGATACAAGCATGTCAAAACGGTGAAAGCCTTTTAGACACTTAACTTGGGCTTTTATGGGAAAGTATTTCATAAACAATTTTTTTTCATTAAAAAGCTACAGGCTCTCAGTTTGCATGCAAGGACTAACATTGCAATTCTTATCCATAGTGGACTGTTTACCCAGAAACCTCAGCGTTAGCCATGCACTTGTGTACGTTAAACCATGAATATTTAAATAGATTAAAATGGTGGTTTTGTAAAGTCTTGTTTTAAAAGGCCCTTTAGAGGAAAAACACCTACCTCATTCAGAGATAGCGGTATATAAAACAAAGTGAACATCACAAAAATTTCATAGAAAATGTATTCATATTGGTTTTAAATTTAATCAGGATATAAAGAGAAGTTATTTAAAAGTTGAGTTGCCTCAAACGGAATCATACATGTTTTATGGGGCTTCCCTGAACCCAGTGTCACATGCCTAAACTGTCACCTTGAATCTTGTGATGCATATAAGTTATAGAACTCCTAACCGCTAACTGAAGATGTATTGGGGTACAGAACATTTGCCTCACATTGGACCACAGAAACCGTCCAGTCTTGTGCTGGGGGTGTGTCACGTGGCAGCTCCAGTGCTGTGGGAACTCATCCCGCCACACAAGGGTTAGTGCCCACGGATTTGGTTAGGATCAGAAAGCCTGAGTCCTTCTGCCAGTGAGTTCTGGTATCATCCAGACCACAGCAACTTTCCTTGAAGGATGTTGCTTCTTCTGCTCCAGTCTTCAGCAGATGGCTATGAAGCCAGCTTTAAATGAATGCTTTCTTGATTTAAGGACAAAATCAAATTCTAATCTCCATTCCCTGAATCTAGGCTATGAGGGGACAGTGTCCTTCTAATCATTTGATCCCTGGGTGAAGAAGAGTCATTTATTAAAAATATTGGCCAACGTAAAGTAGTATTAACAATGCCCAAGAGGTGTAGACCAGGTCTACACTTGTAAAATTCAAATGTTAGACACTTTTTGGCTAGACAGATCCAACACAGAGAGAGAAATATTAGTTCCAAAAAGTATAGGCTTGATTGTCTATGCCTGCATAAATGTGATTTATTAATAAGTTTTCTGAAACATATTCCCTATTTGAATGTTCAGATTGTATGGATATGTACAGTTTTGACCTAACATACATGTGTAAGTATGTGGCCAAACTTCAGATGAGAGGATTTCCTAATAACCTGCACCCTGCTACGTATGTGTGTCACTCTTTTCCTCTTGTAGCAAATTACTAAAGACCTCATATCTTTTTCAAGGTGGCTGTGGAGTTAGCAGTAGGGTGTCTATCAAGACGTCTGAGGCAGCCCCCGAGGATCTTGGTCCCCCTCTTCTCAAGGTGCTGGGGTCATCTTGCGTAGAGGTCCAATGGATGCCACCTAACAAACCAAATGGAATCATCACCAAGTACTTCATTCACAGGTAAGACTGTTAGTGGTCATATAGGAGCGTGCACTGTGCTGAGTCACTCAGATCACACTCGGTTCTCTTTCTGTGCTGGGTAGAGGGGCATGTATGCCTTCAGAGCATAAACTTCTATCCATTATCCAAAGACGGAAGCCAGAGCCCCCAGGGCTTACCTTTGTGATGAGGTCAGTTTGTGGCTGAGACCTTAGAGCCCATGATAATCAAGTAGAACAAACCCCAGAGCACACTGGCCAAAGTGCTACCCAGCATGTGATGTTTCATGGGGGGTGGGGGGGAGGGTGGAGATGGTGGCCTTTCCCAGGGGAAAGACTGGCTCTGTGGCTCCACACCCAGCTCCCTGGGTGTTTACTCAGGCCACCCTGGCAGGCTGGACCATGGGAGCACAACTTGCTTTCACTGTTATGAGTGGAATTTGTCAAGTGGTTTGAAATAAAATAAAGAAAGAGAAAGAGGGATTTGGAGGAGTCATTGAAAAGAGGAGAGAGAGAGAGAGAGAGAGAGAGAGAGAGAGGAACAGAGAGGAGACAGAGAGAAGGAGGAAAGCAAAGAGAGGATGAGAGGAAGAGAAAAGGGGCAAACGCTGTCAGAAAGAGCTTGAAGCCTACAACACAAAAGACAGATGCAGCTGCAGCCGAGTGTGGTGGCAGATGCCTGTCATCCCGGTAATAGGGAGGCTGAGGCAGGAAAATAAATCATGAGTGCAAGTCCAGCCTGGCAAAGTTAGTAATTGAGTGAGATCGTATATCAAACTAAAAATTGAAGATATGAGCTGCGGATGTAGCTCAGGGCAAAGCCCTGGGTCCGATCCCTAGGAGTGAAGAGAAAAACAAAAAGAAGAGAAGAAAAGAGAAGACAAAAAGTAAGACCAACAGCACAATCCAGGATCTGCAGTTTGCAAACCCCTCTCCAAAAGCCATGTCTACACCTCGGCAACACCAGACACACCACCGTGCTCCTCAGCTCCTCCTACCCCTCAAGTTCTTCTTCTCCAAAGCAGCCCGGCACCTTCTCTTATTTGGTCCTATAACCTGGACATCAGTGAAACTTAACTTTCAGCTCCTTTCTCAATTCGGATATGGAAAATCGCTGACTGAAATCCACCTGCCGTGATGAGCAAAGGACCTGAGAAAACCAGTGAACCGAGAAAGGACTGTCGCATTTCTGTTATGTAAATGACACAACCGAAAGTGAGTGAGCCAAAATCTTTCTCAGCAAACATTAATTTGAAGAGTAGTATTTCTGATTCCAATACACATGAACATGTGAAAATGGCTAATGTGAATTTACATTTCACACTGAGCACGGTGGCGCAGGCTGCAAAGGGCCCACCCTCTCGAAATAGTTTTCTTTCATCTACTTAATGCTAATTGTATGAGAAAAGCACATCAGACTCCTATTCTGAATAAAGGGGAATAAAGTATCTGTTGGAGAGCAGGACGGAGCTTCACTCTGTTGCTTTTGTAAATAAAGCTCATGATTACAGTGACTATTCCGTGGCAGCTCGGGAGAAGGAAAACAGGAAATCTAATGCCGAGAGCCCGCTTCAATGAAAAATGCTGTAAATTGAATTTGACAGCATTTGATGGCATTTGATTATTCTAGTCACAGCCAAACAATGATATAAAGAGTAATATGAAGCAGAGTGTGTTACTGCCTCGCAGACTCAAAAGCAATAAACCTTCCTCCAATGTGACACAATCACTTCACAATCATAATTGTGGCCTGTTTGATACCTCTGAGTACAGCGGAAGGGCACTGACTGACACAGATACATTTTGTTTTTTATTTAAAGTGAAATGGAAATGGCTCGCTGGGGCTGCAGATACAATCGTTACATTCACCTGCATAGGCATGAATCACTTGGCAGTTATTCTAGCTGAAGTTTAAATGTGCTTAGACAACAACAATATCACATTTTTCTTGGATAGCTGCAAAAAAAATCAGAAATTTGTAAGGACAGAAATAGAATGGAGACGCGGAGCTCTTTTTCATCCTGAGACTCCACAGGGCCCTCGGATAGTCCCAGCCACGGGCCTGCGGTATTTCTGAGGAGGTTATGGCATGTAATTTTTGCTTCCTCTTCAGCCACTCCTTTCTTCTATTGCCACCAAAGGAAATACATTTAGCTCAACCAAAGGCAAGCTGTGGCCCATGCAGGTATCTCATTAAATTGCAGGAAGACAGCTTGAGTATCTCCTCTGGAAGATGCTATTCCTACCAACCCCTGCACAGTATTTTCCTCCTGTGATTCTCCTCTATTGTTTAAATATTGCCTCTAGATGTCATCTTGTTAGATAAAAGTGTCCACCCTAATAAAGAGAGAAGATGTTCATCACTTCAGAAACAAAATGAGGGCTGGGGATTTAGCTCTGTGGCATAAGCGCCTGCCTGGCAAGTGTGAGGTCATGAATTGGATCCCAGTACAAAAAAAGGGAAAGGAATCATCAGAAACAAAATGAAATATATGACCTGTTAGAGACAAATCATGCATATGGTTACTGCAATTCCCTGTGCTTGTTAACTACGATACTTTTTTGACTATATGTGAATCGCAAAGCAGTATTTGCTACGGAGATGGTAATAAAGAATGGGGGTAAGTTTTAATTTAGTGCCTTAAAGCCTATTTACTGACAAGGTGTAGACAAAGCCAGCTTGTGTGTTTACTTCCTTTTGGCAGGGCATTTAGTTTGTATAGAAATTCCTCAGTTCCCCGCTCCTCCGTATCTCATGTCAATGACTTTGTAATTGGCAGAAATCTCTTCACTTCCAGCTACAAAATGCATCCAAGACATTATCTTGGGAGTTTATAAAACACATAATAAAGTTATCCGCTCTTGCTAGGCATTTGCACTTGAATGAAGCAACATTGCATACTCATTGCAACATTATAATCTCATAAACTTTCTTTTTAAAATCAATAAAATATTTCCACCATGTACACTTAAAGACAAAACTTTACACCAACACCTGGTAAAAACTGTACAAGTAGAAAAAAAAAAAGAAACAAACATTCCTTCTGAATATTCCCAAAGATTTTAAAGAATAAAATCTGGTATCGTTTTGAAAGATGAAGATATGGAAAGATATTTCAAGGTGAGAAACTGAAAGTGTTCATTTTCTAGGATTAATTAATCTGGTTGAGACAGCTAACAAAAAGTGAGTGCTAAATCAACAGCCAGTGAATTTTGATGCAATGCAACTTACATCATGTAGAAAGACAAGTACTCATATAGATCTAAAGGCAGATCCATGCATATATGTACATATCTACTGATGGAGACACAAAGATCTGTAAGACCTAATCTCTGCTCTCAAGAATCTTCCCAATAATACATAAAGACAAACTAAGTAAACAGAAATGTACAATGTAATATGAGAAATATAAATGTCAGAAACTTTGGCAGAGACAGTTTCGCTGTTTCTGAATATTCATGCAAGATTGCAAATGCTCCATGTGATTGGGAGTAGGCATCCCAAAATCAAAACATACTATTTAAAATGTGAAATAGATTTATTGGAAAAGAAATTAACAGACCAGAAGTATCAGTGACTATTATCCATTTTTAGGACTTAGCCAGGCATGTATCTAACTTGCTAAAAGAAATAAATACTGTTAATTTTAAAACATTAATATTGATATTTTCTATATACATGTTCTTTATATACAAGAAATCATGTGAACTATGTGGTTCTGTTGGAAGTTTCTTGTTCATTTATCTATACTCTTTACATTTTAAGGCAAGTTTCCATTTCGTGGCCACATTAAAAATTCCTTGTCAGTTATTTCTTCTACACGTGATGCACTGGAAGGAGCACGGGATTTGTGATCATGAGACAAGACTTAAATAACTTCTGTGACCTTGAGCAAATCAGGTGTTCTCTCATCTTCTGTCTTTGTGTAAAGTCAGATTCCTAAACATGAAGAATAATCAGCCTCCCTGAATTTTGTGAGAACTAAGTGGAGTAATAAATGTGAAATCACTGTGTTAGAGGCGAAATGTGATGAATCCAAGAACATATCTTAGCTGGGCTGTCCATAGCTTCGCTTCAGGAAGGCAGAGCTGACAGTTGTAGGTATATTTAAGAACCAGCAAAGAGGTTCTTGCTAATGAAAGGAAGCTGATTACGTGCCACTATGCTTGGTAGGAGGCTGTTTTATTCACATATTCAGCATTTGTTGTTTTTATTTTTGTGCATGAAAAGTGTCTGGATTGTTTAGTACAAAAATAATGTCAATAGGACTTATTTCCAAGTTGCAGGATATTGATGAGTCTTTCACTTCTTTTGTTCATTAACGTCTTCTAATTAACTTTCACAATCAATATATTATATGGTGCAGTAAAGATAACATGGTTGCAAATCTGTCATCGCCCCATTTCCTCCCCTTTAGAGTTGAGCTGGAACCCAGAGCCTTCCCCCATGCTCCACAAGCACTCTCCATTGAGAAACCACCGAGATACCCCAAGACACCACCAAGACACCCCCAAGACAGCCCGAGACACCCCTGAGACACCACCTAGACACAGCCCCAGCACTACATTTGCTCTATCACTTCCTGTTTCCTTTATCACTTCCTGTTTCCTTTGTCCTGGGAACATTATCACTTCCTGTGGCCCTCGAAGTATAATCAGGACAGAGAAATCATACCAGTTCCACCAAGGGAAAGCATAAAATTACTTACAAGTTATAAACTTGTTAACTAATTCAGTGTAAGAATGAAAAGAGAACACTAAGATATCATAGGGGCACCAGCGACATGACAGGGTGCTCCCCTTAAGCCTAAGGGAACTTGGAGGAATGGTTAGAATTATTAGAACTCAGAGATCAGAGGAGGGACCCAGCCTGCAGCTTGGGTGGAGGGGGGCGCCCCACCCACCGTACAGACATGTGGGGGACATGCAATGGAATTGGAGCTCCAAGTGGAGCAGAAGTCGCATATTGAACACTTGCGCTCCTACAGGCACAGGCAGTGCTGCTGCAGTGTGGGATCCTCACTGCGGAAAGGCTCACAGCACAGCTGCCAAGCAAAGCAGAGAGGAAAGAACTGATTTCTTTCTCCTTTCTGTTTCCTGACCACCCTCTGGCACCCCCTAGAAGTACAGCCCAACATGAGGTCCTCTGGTATAGAGGAGAGGCACAGTGCTGTCCTCAGAGTCAGATGGAGAAGGGCAGGTGTAGAGCTCAGAGACAATAACTTAAGAACAGGTGCATGATTCTATTCAACCAGGTTCCATAGCGTTTGGGGTTCTTCTTGTCAACCAGTTGGTCACCGCTTCAAAACCTTCTGTGGCATCTCCCAGTATGCTGTGCTGCTTTAGGGACCGAGGACTGAGGGAGAGTGAGGTGGAGTCCTCGGCTGCAGGTCCTCCTAGTGTGGTGTGACAGACCAAAAAAGAAGACACATTGTGACACAATGTGACAGGGAGTCCAAAGAGGGTATGGTAACTGGCACCAAGGCAGAGGAAGGATTTTTGGAGAAAGTGCCTTGAGAGTAATGTTTTCAGAGTGTGTCAGGGTACAAAAAGGAGAGGATCAGGGAAGAAACTGAGAAGAGGTGTTGGAAAACAGAATTAATGGATTCCAAAGCCATGGGAGCTTGGCATCTCGTGGTGAAGCACAGGGCTCTAGACAAGCCATTGGCATGATGGGAATCTGAGTTGGGAATAGCAGTCCCAGAATCCTGAGTGGTAATTGAGGCCAGTTGCACAGTGAATCACTAAAAAGATTTAAAAGGATTCTCCTAAAATTTAGGGGTGCCATTTGGCAACTCTATCCCCAGTAGCAAGACATCCACTCAGGTCACAAAGCCTGAGGAGCAAGCCTTCGGAAGGTATCTCCCACCCAGCCTATGTTTGTCTCATCCACCTGCAACTCAGTTCTGGATCCGCACTTATTCTCACGTGCACTGCTCGGTAGCTGTCAAGGTTCAAAGCCACCCTTCTGTAACTGCCAGCTCTGCTGGCCAATGCAGAACTCCAAACATATCTCTGTGATGACTTCAGTGGGGTGTGGTGCATGCCTTTTACCCAGTGATCTCTGTGTGCATTGCTGTGCTCAGTTTAACTCATAACAAGACTTCTGGGAGGTTTGCTCTGAACTAAGAGGTTATTAACTCCAATTTACAAAATTAAATAGAGGTCACAGGATAAATTGTCCAAGGTCATCGAACTAAGTGGCAGAGGCAGGACCTGCAACCTGTTTCTTCTGACTACAGGTATTTGCAGATATTCATTTAAATTCCAAGTGTGTTGACACTCTTCATGGGGTGGGTGGTGAAATTGTTATGTGAAATGCGTTGAGCTTTAGGATTTTGCTTTAATTGCTCTTGAAAATAAGCAATGACATTTGCTGGTATTTTGCTCTTAAAAAGATTATTGTGGACTAAGACAACATCGGTTGTCTTAGAATGGCTCTTACAATATACAATGCCTTTTAAAATATGCATCTCCTATTTTTCATAACTGTTTTTCTTTTCTTGTTGGCGGGGGAAACATTAAATTAACTCCAGTTGGAAAAATACATGACCGAGGATCTCCCAAGCAAGCATCAGCAAAGAATAACTACTTGGCTCTTCAGAAAGAGCTAAAGATGTGATTTCTCTAAAAGCAGACTTATTTTTAAGAGAGGAAACAATTCCAACTAAGTGAACAGTTGAAGCTTAAATCGTAAATAGATTAGGAATATTCACTGATCACTCAGTCACTTCTGCTCAAAGTGCGTTCAGACATAAAGGGATTCTGGATTTCTGCAGCACAGATGGGACATTTACCCCTCCACAATATTCATTTATTAAGTATTCAGCAGTGAGAAGAAATACATTAATCAGGCCGCATGCTTTCATTGTCTTGGTGGGCGACATAGGAGCTAACCTCATACTCCATGCTTAACTCCTGTAAATTTTAAAAATTTATACTTTTGGGCAATTGTTAAAAGAATGTCAGTTTTACACAAACCATGGCTACATCTCAATTTAGGACTTCATGAGAGTTTAATAAAAATTAATTGAATTGTCATAGTAAAGCTAAAACGAGACAAAATAGAAAGTGTTATTTCCCACAAAGAACTTCCTACATGTGTTTGCTTTGTTATAATCCTAGCAAACAGGTTTTTAAAAATCCCTGAGAGGAGTCCCTGGCTCTGCGCCCTGTGTTCTCATTAGAATGGATCCCTCCCCTTGCCACACCTGGTACCTGATCTCCGAAGCCAGTACAAAGGCCAAGCTCTGCAAACCTACGCGGAGTGTGGAATCTGGTCCACGCATGGTAGCGGTAATTATGAGGTGGGTTGCCGGCCTGTAATTGCAGGTCACTGAGTGGGACCCATGAAGCCTCCACAGCCTCCAGCAGGATGTTTGTCATTGCTCCTCCTTAGGTCATAGTGATTTATCAACCTGAGACTCATCAAACTCCCAAAGCCAAAGATTTTCCATAGCCTGCCTTCCTGTAAAAGGGTACCGTCATTTACTTTGTCTTAATCAACTGTGAGGTTCTGATGGCGCTGGTTAATTTGATATGGCAGCATGTCCATTTCCAGCATCTGAAGAGTGTGTTAATTAAATGCCCCTAACAGTCTGGAAAATACTGATTTATTTATCCTTCTCTTCTCACCTGGAGAGTGGGCCAAAAGAGAGTCCAGCTCTTGGCTACATTCTACCCACCCTAAATTTTTTATCTTAATAGGATATAAAAATTGACATAAGGCAGATCTGTAGAAAAGTCATGAAAGTGTATGCCTATGAGCCATTCATTTAAAAAAAGAAACTATTGAAGATGCACTGAACTCCAGTGCTGGTACTGCAGAGGGATGGTGATTCCAAATTCTCAGGACCTTCCCCTTTTGTTAGGAGACGCATCATTGCTTACCTCCAAATGACCGAAGAACTCTTCCAAGTGAAATACCAGATATGTAGAGCAATCTTAGCAACTGACAATTCTATTTCTCTTGCTTAGATGTTTAACACATTATATTTTCAATACACCCCCAAAACCAAATAATGCATGGGCTGTAGTTTTGAATGGAACAAAATCTAAAGATGCAACGAACAATCTTGTTCTCAGGCAGTTGAAAGTGGTTTTCAGGGTACCCTGTATTTACTAGGTCTCAGAGGAGATCGCTATAATGACATAGACTTTGCCCTTTAAGTATCTCTAAATTCCCACTGTATTCCCGATCCTGTTGTTTTCACTAATCCGCGTGTGTAGCGCTGGCCTAGCCCCTCTGCTCTGATCTCCTCCAGGTACAGTGTGTTCATCACTGTGACCCTGCTCCTGGGTCGAGGCCTGGTGTGTGAGGAGCTTAACAAGGGTTTACTGGTAAACAGCGACACATGCTTAGGGAAGAACGCTCTTTATTTTAGGTGTTATGATTTCCTTAAAGAAGAGGAAATCCGGTTGAAGAGAAAATAAGTTACACCTGGGAAATGAATTCAAAACATTTCAAACATTCTGGAAACAAAAGCCAAAATTGCATAGTGCTAGGTAAGAGGAAATATGAGTGGTGGGCGTCCTTCTCCTGGTGGTCCTCATCCTCCAGGAGGCCAGCGGGGGCGTCTCACATCCAGGTCTCAGCAGCAGCAACAGTAGCCTCCACGTGCAAACAGTTTCCAGTCTGAATTTAGCAGACTCCTTCCTGCCCTACAGCCAGGGAAAGTCCAATTGCCAAGCCCAAAGTGGGTTTGGGGTCACAGGAGCAGAGAAGCCATGGAGGCAGAGAGACATACACAAATAGGGACCCTCACTGCACTCTACCCACCATAGAAGGTCAAGGATGTCCCCCGACATCAGCCCCTGACAATTACATGTTTTGCAAAAACTGAAATCCCATTATGACTTCATGTACACACATGCATGCACACTAAGGAACATAGCCATAGAAAATACTTAGAAAAGTGTTACTAGCACTTAATTTAGGATTCTGCATTTTTAATTGTTCATATATTTCCTTGTGTTTTTTTAAAAGACAGAAGTCTGCAACAAAATATGATTGAGAATGATCTTTTACTTATTTTTATGTTGTTTTTCCATATTTTCTATGAAACTGGACTTTTTTTGGTACCAGATTTCGAACTCAAGACCTTGCCCTTGCCAGGCAGGCGCTTGTACCATTGAGCTATATGCCCAGCCCAACATGGGGCTTTATTATTCATGACCTCATATTTGTAGTGCGTAGTGATTGCCTTCCTCATGAGGCAACAGTACATATGTATAATACATCTTAATTCTTTATATACCCCCTTCCCTGCCCCTCCTCTCCTTCCCTCCTCCACCTTTTGGTCCTCTGAAGAGAGAGATTTGTGCTGGCATTGTTTGGACACTTGTAAGCAGATGTCTTGTGCTCTGGTGAATAATTTGAGGATGACAATGCACAATGTAGATACCATTATTGCCCCCTGACTGATGTGTTTTAAATTTTTGTTTTAGTTTTTTTCTTTTTTTCTCCTTGAAATGAATTTGGAAAACCAAAGATCTGAGGAGAAGCATGCACACTTACAGTGAATCAGACATGTAAGCAGGTGTGCATGCACACATGTGCACACATACATCCATGCAATGTCATATTTGTCATAGAGAATGTCCCAGCCAGCTTGCTTCTGTGTTTTTCCAACTGGTCTGTCTTTGTCATGACCCGGGAAGGATGATAACTAGTCCCTCTCCCAAAAATGTGGCTCCTTCTCCGGACCTGTGTTTACAGTTGCTTGCATGGTTTCATTTCAGACGTCCTGCTGGCACCGAAGATGCGTCCCTCGTGTTTGCCTGGTCAGAAGGGGCCCTCCAGTTCACAGATGATGCTGGGACACTGAGACCTTTCACACGCTATGAGTATAGGGCCCGAGCCCAGAACTCCAAGGGCTCGGTGAACAGCGACTGGTCCTCTACACAGACCCTGGAAGCGCCCCCTCAGGCCCTGCCGGCCCCCCAGGCTCGAGCCACCAGTGCCCATTCCGTCCTGCTGACCTGGACAGAGCCAGAGTCACCCAATGGCCACATCTCCCAGTACCGCGTGGTCTATAGAGAGAGGCACGAGGACCCAGGCCCAGGCAGTACACCGGTGCCCGCGTTCACAGTAACGGTAAGATTCACATAGGAAAACCGTGCCCAGGTACCTCTTAATGTGTTCATGTTCGTTTCATATCCAGCTTGTTGTTTTTGTTAAATATATACAAACTTTTTTCTGTGTGTAAAGCAGTGTGAGCACAGGGATGCTCTGTAAGCGAGGTCGGAAGAACACCAGGGTCTAGTTGTGAACCATGGCTAATTTCCATTAGGGCAAGCGAACGCAACCCTCACTCTCTGTCTGACTTCTCCTTTCTAGCCCATTAAATGGGGATGATTCAATGGGCCCCTCTATATCTTGCAGGGATGAGGATGTAAAACTAGACAACATTTAACTTTCTACTTGCTGGAAAAGCCAACTTTATAAACATATATCATGAAAGTTACATGCACTATAAATGTCACTACAGCCTGAGTTTGTCATGATTTTTTGTGAGGAGAATGCCCTGCTCCAATGTAGAAAACTATTTAATTCTGTCCACGTGGTGTCTCCTCCATCCCTTCTCCATGCCTGCACAGCCTGAAATCCTGTGAGAGACACAGGGTCATGAGGGTTCTGGTCTCTGGAAACAGCCTCTTCCATGGCACTACACAGATGAGAGCTGCATGTGAAGGACAGGATGAGGGTATATGTTACCCTGAGCCTTAGATCCCAAGCTTACCACCTACCAGTCATAAACCACCCTACAAGAGAAATCACATCACATCCCGAAAGTGCTGGGCATGAATGCGCTCAGAGGTCAGCAAGAGGCACTCATGCTATAGAGGATTCATGCAGCGGATGCAATGCAACAGTCTCATGCTCTGTGTAGGAGTTAAATACACTCAAAGGAGAGCATAGCACATGGTGAGCATTTAAATTACAAGAACTTATTACAATAAAAGATGCTTTGCCATTCATCGCCCTCAAAATATTCCTCCTCACTTTGAACACATGGATCATGCCATCATTTTGGCCATGTCATGAAGCAGTGCTGGAAGTCCTCCTTCGTGAGTGTCTTCACACAGTTACTAAAAACATGGTGAACGCTGCTACTGCGTACCAGCCCACAGACAGGCAGGCTCCTAAAAACATCATGCCATGTCCTCCTCCACCTTATTCCCAAGTCCAGCAGTGTGTGACTTCTGGCTCTTCCCCAAAGTGATCGTGAAAGATACATTTTTCTTTTTAACAATTCAGGACATCAAGGCACCCTTGACAGCACAGTTAAAGACACTCAGGAAAGAGAACCTCTAGAACTTCTGCAGAATTAGAAAGGAAGATGGGATAATTGTGTTTGGAACAAGGGAGAAAGTTTGGGGAAGACTCGTGACATGGGCCTGAGCCGTAAGAATTTTTTTGTGTAAATGCATCATATTTTTTCAATCAAACCTCACATAGTTTTCAAAATGTGCTAAAACTTTATTAAATATGAAATCCCTCAAGAATAAGAATGAGATTAAAAACAGAATAAAACATTATTTTAAAAGAAAATCATATTTCTATGCTTCAAATCTTGGAAGCCTAATTTGCAAGAAAATTATAGAACATAATGTTTATCAAAATATTTAAATAATATAAACAACTTTTAATGAAACTCCAGAAGAATCTTTTAAATAAGTTAAAATACAGTACCATGTTTTCCTATAATCTTCATATGTACTTAATCTCTCATATAACTAACAAACAACATGTAAGTAAAAGGATGATATTAAGGAAATCTGTTTCTATGTCTTAACATGCACCTTGTTTTCTGACTTCATGCTAAATTATCTGTACATACCAGGATTTTTCACGTCATTTCCACTGGACATTTCGTCGTCCGCATTAGAAGCAATGTTCTTACCACTAAAAGGTCTTTCTTTAATTGATGTGTGCTCCTTCAGGAGATCTGGTTGCTTCTCTCATAGCCTCAGAACTCAGTCTAAACTTTCACCCTTAAAGTAAAATTTTTCTTGAAAATACTAAAACACTCTGGATAATAGGTTTCTTAATGAGGTATTTTAATTTAAATATGATTTATTGATGGCAACAGTCTTACAGTGATTGAACTTCTGATCTTTCAAACTAATGACTTTTAGGAGTATGAGCCTAAGGATTCATCTCCCCACACAGTTTCAGAGGAATTCCCTTTAGCATGTAAGACATTCCTTCATAGATGGCTTTGCTAAAGACACATGATGTAAAGTGTGTGATGAGTGATTTGACAGCTCAGTCTTGGTGCACACTTCCATTTTCTCTGAAGATGATTCATTGTAATGCTGGAAAGAATAACCAGAGTGATCAAGAAACAGTAATATGGCTTATTCCACTTTGAAATGCGTGCATGTATTCCAAAGTCCTCTCCCTAAAACTTGGATCTTTGGTCCTGAGAATCATCAGAGCTTTCAGTAGACCTACCAAGAAAGTCCCATCTGAGCCTTAGACACAATTAAGGACCTAATATGTGAAGCAGTCTGGGAAAGTATTCTGAGATTCTGGTCACTTGACTAAGTTTCTAGGCCACTGTGACTTTTAGTGGACAAATACCTGGAAAGAGGCCATAAGGGAAAATAAACCTCTGTGCTTGATTTTAATTCATTCCTGAATTTCCTGTGTAGATCTTGTGTCAAACTCTTTAAAAATAAGTAAAGATTATCCAAAATAATAAAAGGTATCCATTTATCTAATGTCCTCACCTCCTCTTCAGCAGGGAAAAAAGGTCCCTTTGATGGTAGCCAAATCTTTCTCTGGTAACATAAGTCCACCTCTTTCTCTTCAGAACAGCATGACGTCTCTACACCAGTAGTCTTTTAGGGTCAAGAACAGATTATTGACAGTTCAATCAAACTTGGCAAATACTCATTGAGAACCATGTTCAATATGTCAATGCGCCACACTCTCTCAGCTGAATTGTTGAGGTCTACCGTGAGACTTAGCTTTTAGACAGAACCCCTACTATAGGGGAAGGCAGGTAATCACGTCTCAGACACAGGTCACTACTGCTGGGCATGTTGATCTCTAAGCTCCTTACTGCTGAGTTTTTGCCACTTGTATTTAGACAACCTCCTTTTAAATCTCCTGGATCTACTTGTTATCTCTCTATTTCCCGTCCCAGTTAATCACTTTCCTGTCTCCTTCCCCTCCTATGTTTGCCTAAGGATATATTTCAACTTTTTGCTCAGTGATCACACAGGCTGGAATTCTGCAGAGCAACATGACTGTGTTTGTTATTAATGAGGCTCAGGGTCCGTCCCCCAAATTGCAGGATTACAACTCAATCTGCAGACTTGCAGGAGGTGTTGCTAATACCTCCCACGAACCTTGTGTACCAGGTTCCTGTCTCTGCACAAGGGGCCACCAATAACTTGCCCGTGGTGTGGAGCCATCACGAGCTTGTCCCAAGGCCCCCCAGAGTTGTTTATAGACAGGTGGATGTCGCTGAGAGCCACATAAAGCAGGCGCAGAGGAGGCTGGATTCCTGCTGCCGGTGGCGGTGGATGGAGACCTGGCAGTGGGGGCTTCCGTGGGGCGAGGAGCGTATGTGTTGGCAGAGACAGTGGTGGCAGCAGCAGAGGCAGCGGGAGAGAAGAAATGGAAAAATGTAGGTTTAAATGCATCACTACCTTGTCTTGCAACCTCACAAAAAGTCATGTCGGGTCCCTTTGGGCCCAAGAAGTTTCTTGGAAAGGGAGGACACAGGTAACAGAATTCTGAGGGTCTCCCCAGACCAGTCCTCTGTAAACAAGCTAACGTGAGAGGTCCTAAGCTCCCTTCCTGATTAGCTCTGTGATGAATTGTGCAGTGTGGAGAGAGCGAAACTGTATTTAGCCTCACTTGGCACGCGACAGTTCCACGGTGGTACTGACAGGAACACTCCCCACGAGGTTGGCGACACTGCGACCACCATTTGGGTTTGTTTGCTTTCTCCTCACTGGCACCTGCCATCGCACTGGCAGAAATAACTCGGGATTTAAAGGTGGTTTGCCGTTTAGCCTGTGTTCTAAGCATATCCATTTGCCCCCTAGGACCATGAAACAGCCATCCAGAGCATGTCCTTGCCCGTTCCCCGAAAGATAGATGGTGCTTCAGTCTGGGTACAGAATCAAGCGAATGATAGGAGAGGAAGCAAATAATATGGGTCGCTAGAAGTTGGCTTCTAATCCGAGAATAAAATCCAGATTTACAAACTCCAGTTTCTGGATTCCAGTTGCCAGATTCTCTTTCCCAATGTCAAAGAGGAGGTATTCAAAATTTCCTTGTGTGAGAGTTGCCAATCTTCTTACCACTAAATGGACAGGTGCCCAAAAACAAAATTCAAGAGATGCTTCATAATTACCAAATTATGGAGAGCTTGTGAGTACATTCACTGTGAATTCCATTTTTATTTTGGCTTATTAGAAGCTAAAGATGTACTGTTGTTTACATATGTTTGTAAATTAAGTGTAACTCTCATAATATTATGGTTCTTAGCTTTTATCCTGAAACCATTTATTAAACAAAGGAAACCTTCTGTAAGATGCTGGTCTCTTAAAAGATTCATCTGATGCTTCTTTTCACCAGAAGAAAGAATTGGTGATAAAAACAATGGTCCTACTTTGGGGGGTCAGCTCTGCAAACTAAGATTTCCCCATTTCATGACAACTGTGTCATTCTGTATAAAAGACACAAAACATGGGCAGGTCGATGTCACCCGAAACACTGAGTCCTCAGCACCACTCGGGTTCTTTAAGTGTCGGGCCTGATACTAACTTTCAGTTTGCTGCCCTTGCATGGTCTTTGTCCCTTTTTCTAATCGTTCCATGTTAAGTCTGTAGCACACATTGGGAATCTACTTTTGCTGAATATTATTGGAGGTGAAATCACCCACTGGAGGGTCTCATGATATTTTCTTTGTGTGCACACAGAGGGAGCCCCAAGAAGTCCCACTCCCCTAGATCCAGCCCCTAATTCCTTGCCTTTCTTACCTCTGCAGTACCACCCCAGTGGCCCATGCTATAATCTCTCTCACTTCTCCAGCCCCTCTTAAGCAAGCAAACTGTGCTTATTATTCCCAA